GGGAACTTCGGACGTGTCCCAGCACGTGTCTCCAGGTGTCCCACTCAAAAAGAGACAAAGCAGCTCCTCTGTGTGAGTTTAGTGTGCTTTCAGAGATTGTGTCGTGGCAGCAAAGTCAATTAATGTATTCATGATATTTATATATTTAAATATATTTATAAGGGGTTAAACCCACAGGGGGAGGGGGGCTTCCATTTTCCTAATGACATGCAAATGGGGTCTAATGTTGTGTTCCATCTCAGACCCGTACCAGTGAGGATGGTGGCGTTGGGGGAATTACCAGTTGGTGCGCGCGCCACCAGAGAGGAGTCGAGAAGTTTGAGCCGTAAAACTTCAAATTAAAAAGTTTACATTTTCATTTCCACTCGGACTGCCGTCGACTGCATCCGGTTCCTTCTCAAATGATCGAGAATTAAAAAGTATGTCCTGGTAGTGTATATCACAAATTATTCATGTTGCCGGATTGATTGTGTATCATTAAAAGCTCCAGGGCCCAACGCGATTCCCTCCCACCGAATTATAGGAGCGCTAAAATGAAGCGATAATATCATTTGAATTTCAATCTGCCGGTGAAGCAGTAGCACACACAGGTAAGCGCAGGGCGCTGTACAGCCTCTGCCAAAGCAGCATTTACATTTTTCCTCTGCCGAGCAGCCAGTTCATCAAGCATATCCTATTTATTTCATCGTGAAACAAACAACAATATTCATCTAATGATTGGCAACACTTAGCCGGGATCCCCCCTGGAGTTTTGAATCAAGAGCCAGATTAAATTAGTGTTCTTCCCTGTGTGGCTAACCTGTGGCACAGCGATGAGACGATACCGTATCAAATTAGAGAATCAGAGGGGAAAAGCGTCCCGCTGTTAGAGATCTAATTATGGCAAACACAATAAACAGCTTGATTGTTTTTATTGTCTGCCTCTTATGCGGAGATTGTGGATGCTTAAAGGGTCTAAAAGCTTGTTTCTCTGAACGTTGTAAAGTGATATTTTGCTTTAATGGGCCATTTGTTTGTTTCATCCTGGTTTTAATGAAATGTTCTTAATTGCCACAACCTTTTTAGCTAATCATGACGTGGTGATTGTTGACGAACAGGGCAGCATTGCTGTGGTGGACACAACTTTCTATGATCAATCTACCACCCCTGGCATCCTTAAAAGTCTGATGTTCCCATAGTTTTTCTGATGATACAATAGATGCTTGTAATTCTTATCATATTTATATGTTATATTCACTTTTATTGTGTTTTATTGTGTTAAATATTCAATACTGTTTCATTCAGTTCATTGAATGGAATTCTAAGGTTTGTTGCCAGAGATTACTTTGCTGGATTTAGTTTCCCATCAGCTGAAGTGGATGGAACTCAACAGAAAAAATCATTCACAGATGAAAAAAAATGTTTATCCAGAAATAAATTGATTCTTGAATTTAACTCTTGTGTTAACTCTTGAAGTGAGCCCCTGACTCCCGCCCGACTCTTTTGTATGCCTAGCTTGAATTAATTCGCCATGGTCCAGCTGATTGGTTTGCTCACCATTTACTGTAGCCTCTTCCAAATCTCGTCCTCTCCAACATCACTGACATTTGGAGAATTCTTGATTAACATAATTAGACAAGTTTGAGGGGAGATTTAGAAAATCCCTCTTTTCTCCCTTCCTGACTTGTTTCCATGCACGTCTTCCAATCTTCACATTAATGCTTTGAGTCCATGGATTAGTGGTGACATTTATAAGGGCATATTTTAAAAAAAAGATACTTGGAAAATACACTCAACGATGTGTGGATGTTTACTGTATGGAATACACTGTCTCCCACACTATGTGATGCGCTTTAGATCATCTCCTTTCATGTGTCTCAGCTTATAGAAAAAAACAAAAGCTGAGGAGTAAGAGTGTATTAAGAGACAGAAGGGAAAATAAAGAGACACAGATAGACTCTGGCATGCTGTTATTTTCTCTATGAAGGAGACCAAGGAGAGCTCCAGCAGTTTATTGATTTTTCAGAACTGCTCTGCTCTCGTTGCTATCCCAGGGTGCTGAGCACTCTTCATTGGACACACGCAGCACCTCGGCCTGTGATCCTTGTCGGAGATACCCCGAGATCGCACCACAGGCCCCCCCACAAGCCTCCCATTCATGCCCATTCACGCCTGTGTATCAGTGGCTTCCACTGAAGAGATCGCGAGGGAAATAGGGGCACAGAGTCACACCCTCGCGTCTTTGTGTACTATTGTGTTTGTGCTGTGGAAGATGGGGAATATGCTTGGATATGCTTGGATATGCTGGGATTCCACTGTGACGTGTTGAACAGGGTCTGCTGAGGCCCGGTGGAGGTGAGACGCTCACACCAACAATGCCAACATATTTATCTCGGTTTCTCCAGACTGACTCTGCGCCCTCTTAGGACAGCCTTTGAATACATTAAGCAACATTTTGCTCATGCTAACAGGAAACACACCAATCTCTCCTCTAAGCCATCACCCGTTCGTCAGGAAATGGGAATCATAACACTTTCATGTCGTCCGCTAGCTTTTTGTTGAAAGCAGGTCAGTGCAAAATGCTGTCAGCCGCTCACCTTTCGCCGGGGTTTGTCTTTAATTATTGCCAGGGAGGAAGACACAGCCCAGCTCATCAACTGGATAAATATTTGACGGCCATTCCATAAATTGGCATAGGGGGTTCTGTTTTAACGACGCATTCTGTCCAAGCCAGACGTCATGTACCGAGCGATGCTCTGTGAATTGGCTCTCTGCAGGTGCCTGCAGCCCATCTCGGCATGAGGTAAATTAAAACTCACATTTCTGCTCTGTAAAAGAGAGATTTCACACACTTCCTGAATTCGTCTTATTTAATTACAACCTATGTCAAAGCATGATTTTGGAAGATTAGGCTGGGCATCCAATTAATCAAGAAATAGGAATGTTTGTGGACTCTGGGCTGTTTTTTTTTTTTTTACATGAATATGGGAATGTTTTATGCTTTGTTTGTGTAATGTGTGCGGACGGGCGTGTGTGCGCGTGGGTAAAATTTGATCTGTTTCAACCCGGGGGGTTTCGCTAACAGGACTCAGGGGTACGTGCCGGCACCATGTAAGAAAGCTCAAAGCAGGACAAACAGGGTATGAGGCGTCACGCCTTAACAAATAAGGATCCCACTGTGATTGTAGCCAGCGCTGCTTTAGCTTGGCTTATGGTTTATGCTAATAGAAAATCTGGGAAGGATCATAGAAATCCAAACAGTCTTACATTTTTGATTATCATTCCACACTGGAAAACAAAGACAGCAGGGGTGGAAGGAGACGATACCTATCAGCAAAAGAGTTTTTTTTTATTAGATTAGATGAGAAATACAGGGAAATGACAAATTTATCCAAGAGTGAGTCTGTTTCTCCTAATCTACAGATGCAGTTATTTTGAATAATTCTGTCTAGAGGTGGTCTGATGTCCTCTCTGACACTTGTAGCATTGCTCTGACTTCCACAATAAGCTCTGATTGGCCATCTCTGAGAGTGGCGCTTCAATTATGTGATGTAGCGTTTCATAACTGACTGTGAGCATATGACAGCGTTTACGTCTTGTGGCCCAGATACTAAAAAGAGGAGGCAAATAGCAAAGGTTAGTTTTTACAGCACGTTTGTCGAAACTGCACATGAGGATTTGAACCTAAGTGATAAACCAGATTTCCCCTCTGTGAAATCAACAGATCAGCACATGGCAGAGCAACACTTGAGTGATGCACAGTTGCTGTCTCAGTGGCTTTAGATGATTGTCAATAAAGTCAAATGAGTCTCAGATGGTTGTCAGCTTTGATCTGGTATCGCTCGCTGAGGTGGCTGAGGCCGTTTGGAATCCTCTCGGGCCTGGGTGCGGCCATCTTCCTCACATGTGGCTTTTCAAATGGCCCGACTCGAGTTATTGTGATAACCTGTCAAGTTTTGTATTCGATACCAGTTTTAATCGCCAGTCACCTGCTGTTTTCCTCCTTTGAGTGCAGAATACATATTTATGAGGTCTGGTGCTATTCTGTACACATTTGCAAATGATTATGTGCATTTTCACTCGGAACCTGATTCCAGATGTGCAACTTTACAAGCGCAAACTCGTCGACTCCTCAGCTCACAAAGTTCTCATTCTTTAAGGAACGGGGTGTTTATTTGCATTGTAACACAATCATTCTGATCATAGAAAGACTTTTTCTTTAACGAGTGTGTTCATTTAGTTTCTGTCCTATTCGTGTTCATTTTGGATCCAGACGGAACGAGTCCCGCTGCCAAATACAGCGTCTACCTTCTTAGACGGTTGGACTAATAAAAGGTTGAAATGTTTTGATCAGACAGCCTCAAACAATCCTCCGCTTGGAGGAAGAAAAAAGAGGACTTACCATAATGCTATTAATCATGCCGGGGCGTCAAGGTTCAGCCGGTGTCACGGTCAGCTTCAAAAGACATTACTTCTTAAGTTTTTTTCATTGTGGACGGACTCCTGCACAAAATCTTTGAGGATTTGATCAGGTACAGGTGCCGGCTCTTGCTGTTAAAAGCGACACCTCAAACTCTTTTTGGTTGGAGGTGGTCATTAAAGTCGTCCTAGGGGCCAGTGTGGGCCAACATCTGCATTTCTGTTCAACTCACCGCCTGTTAAGGAATAAGCTCATTAGGCCAGATAACAGATGCTCTGTCCTGCAGACATTTCTCATTTTCAGCTCAGTTTTGCCAAAGTTGTTAAACCAAAAATTATTTTGATTTTCAGACTTACAGACAAGAGGGCAATCTGAACTCTGGAAATATTAAGGTTTCTGAAGTCAGGCTATAAGGAGCGTTTTAAAGGAGTACGGTGCTCAGCATTTGAAGGAATAATCTTATTCATGTTCCACCAACACCTTTGTATTAGTATTTAGCCAGAGGAAACCAGTAGTCAGCCAAGTTTCTTTGTAAAGGCAGACACTAAGTTGTATTTGTGAAAGGCTTACTGTACTAGTCTCTTGCCCATGAAGTTAAAACATTATATGCATCAACATCCGAGGGTTCAGGGCTGATAAGTGATTGATAAGTGATTGATTATATTGTTCACAAAAAATATTTCCCTGTTCCACTGTCCTGAAAAAATAAAGCAGAATCTGTGCAGGCCTAAACCGTAGATACTGAGGAATATTAATAATAGAATACAAATATATCTTTGGTTTGTACAGTCTGCAATTTCTACGTTTGTATTTATAGCATGTGTTTATCTGATTAGGAATGGGTGTTCTCAAAGCTAAAGGTCAGCTCTCTTCATCTTTATATTCTTGGAAAGTGAATGAGGATATCTCTTGCCTTAAATCAATTCTCCGTGTGTGCTTTTCTTCCAGCGAAATGTATTCAAGACAGGGAGAAGACATGGGCTCACAGTTGCATTGTTTGTTTGGGGGCCAGATTCCCTCTTTTTCCCCCGCAAAGGAGGATTAAGCCTGTCGGAGGCGTGTGCACCGACTGAGCTGGCGCTCCTCTTCGCCACTACACACTCCAGCAATCAGGCAGGCTGCCAAACAAACAGATGAAGTCAACAGAGAGACGCTTCCCCGAGTCTTCTGAGATGTGACTGCAACAGATGCAATGCTGACACCAGCAGTTGACACAGTGTGACAACCTACTGTGTCTACACAGCCAGCTCCACTTTGACTTATTTTGAAAGAAGAGAGAGGGGGGGGGGAGGTTGGGGAGGAGTCGGGGGTGACACTATGCACATGATCACACACAAGATAATGTTTGTCAGCAGCAACAGCGGTGTCACTGTGTAACAAAGACTGACAACAGGGGTTGATTTCACGGTGCAGTCATGGTGCTCGTACAGTTCCAGAAAGATTTCCATGTGTGTTGCGGGTTGGGGGGGGGGGGGGGGTTTGGGGGGGAGTTGCAGTGGAGGCTTTATTCTGATCATCACTCATTCTGTGGTGAACTGTGGCCATTACACAGGTCAGAATCCCATCACTTAGATTCTATTTGAATCATGAGCTTTCCATTCTGTCCCCCCCCCCCCCTTGTCTGAAATCTCCACATTGCCACCCAGACAGGGTTCCTGAGAGCACTGCATGCTGGTTAATGGAGTTCTCGGTTTGGAGAAACTCTGGGGGATGGAGTGAGGGAGTATCTGTATCCAGGTAATTACAGTCTGAGGGGGCACAGAGGTCCTCTGTGATTACATATCAGGCCTGTAATGGATTCAACACTTACAGACTGGAGAGAGAGAGAGAGAGAGAGAGGGGGTGAGGGAGAGAGAGAGACGCATTCCTTACCTTCCCCATCGTGACGGCAGGGGATGGGCTGGTGAGACCCGGCAAGGTAGGGCGGGGTAGGTAGGTATATCTGCAAGATGGATTACGTGGGGTTTGCCGAGTTCAACATTGACACAGATTCATCGTAAATCATTATGCTGGAGACCCGGAGTGATTTCTGCATTAGGAGCAGAAAATGGAGTTCATCCAGTCAATGAGGGAGGGCATATTTCACATCAATCACCTCCACACTCATGTTACCGAGGCTTAAATCTCACTTATTCTGTTACTAATAGGGTTCAATGGCTATGATGGCAATCAGCAAGACACTGCACTAACAGTACCCTGCTGACTGTGGAGCAGATACCGCATGGGGCTTTGCTGCTATCTATTTAAAGTCAGCAGCATTATACTAGAAATGGTCCAACAAAGATCACATCCCTGATAAAAAAGTTTCTTTTTTGGCAGATGGTAATTTTTCATATTACAGCGTCATAACTACAGCAATTTGCTTCATAATGCTCAAAGAGGAAGGTGAAGCCAAAGGAGTTTGTAGTTGTAAAGGATACAATAAAGGCCGAAATAACAACAGACTTTACACTTTATCGCACAGCACAGGTTAGAAGGTTAGATTACAGTGGTTGAGTGGTGAAAAAGCAGGCTGGTTCATCAGTGCGCGACAGATCCAGGAAGCCTGAACGGGCTGAAAACACGGAGCTAATTTAGTAGAGAAGCACTCTACAGAAAGAGGTTATTTGACATTCTGTGGCGTGAGCAGGTCAGATTCAGTTCAAAGTCATATTGAGGAACCATTCCAACAGTTTGTTCTCTTCCCATTCCAAAAAAGTTCTCAGAGGTTGGATAAAGAAGTGGATAAAACTATGCTTCATGTGTTTTTTGAGCTGTGGAGGTTGACAAAGGGTCTCCATGACGCCATCATTTCGGTTATTAAATTATATCGCAGGCTACAGCGACCAGGACCGACCCACATTCTGAGAAAATGTTTTGAGCAAAAGCTTTAACTGCATCTGTATGAAACAAAACACTTAAACTTTTATAGTGAGTTCCTTTTATATCTGCTTTTGTTCATTGTCATTTTGTGTATTTTGAGTCCCTCTTTGAGTCTTTGCACATATTTAATTTAATTGGACTTTTTTGTTGTAGATTGAAGCTATTTTATCAGATCTTTGAGTCATTTGCTTCTCTTTGCAGCTGTTTTATTTTTTATCTTCCTCACCTTACTGTTAGGTTTTGAAGTGTCTGTTTAGCTGTTTGGAGGTGAACTTTCTTTTGACTTTGAGGACTACATTTGCCGTTTGGAGCCATTTTGTACCTCTTTATTGCCAGTATATTTGTGCATATGTGCATGGGATTTTTCCCCCCATAATTCTGTCCATTGTTGCAGACTCTGTGAGCCTCTCAACCCTATAATGCCATATGTAGCCTATCACATATGATGATGTTTCAGATGTTTCTGAAATGTTTTGGATCTTTAAATGGTAAGAACTTTCCTCAAAACCCACTGTGCACAATCAGATATACCTGATAACAGACTTATTGCATGGCAATAAATGGTGAATATTAAAAAATTATTCATTTCTGTTTTCTTTATCATATTTTGTTAAAGGGTCAAACAAAGACTTCAAACAAAAACGAAAGAAATCTATGTTTTCATCCACTTTTGGATAAGGCTATAAAGGGTTAATTGCTTGTTTTGTTAATATTACAACTCATTTATAATAAAAAAAAAAGGAAAAAAAAAACTTTGTGCATGTTCTGCCAATATTGCTTCAGTAACACTATGGAGGAGGTGATGTTTTTAAACCAGAGGAAAGCCAGAAAAAGCAGCATTTCTTGTAAATCTTCGGTCTGAGCCTTTTTCGTGCTCTTATTTTTGTTTTTTTCCAGCCTCAGCCCTGGGAACACGTTTGGTGTTGTGCTGTCAGGGGAGGCGAAGGCAGAAAGAGAGGCTTCACCGGCCGCTCTGCTGGAATCCGGATATGATGAAAATGTTTCAGGCTCCACTCGTAAACGGCCGCCGCTGCTCGTCGACGCCGTGCTCGTATTAATCCCCTTTGTTAGTCAAACACATCTGGACCAAATAGGAGCACCGAGTTCTGCCAGGAGAAGTTTTAGGGGAAAGTTTTGGACGCCGGACTGCTCTCTCGCCTCGCGCGCCTTTTCCCCCCGTCGCGTGCAGGAGGACGGATGGGAAGAAGTCAGATTTGAAGGGAGTTGTCATGTTTGAAAGGTAAGTTAGACTTCGCAAACAACGAGCCCTTACAGCAGCAAACCCGTCTTTATAGGCCCCATTTTTTATTAAATAAAAGGAGGAAACGTGTGAGCGAAAGGACTCCGTGTGAAAAGTTTGAGAAAGTTCGTGTGAAAAAAGGCGCGTGAAGGGGAAATTTCCACCAAGTTTTTTACTGGAGTTCGACGTCAGCTTCCCAGTGTGTGAATGAGCAGGGCTCTTTCTCATGTTGACTAACGCACGCTTTGCTCTGGCTCACAGCTCCGAGGGCTGAGGAACAGGGAGGAACTTCTTCTGCTGAGCTTTTTTTTTTTTTTTTTTTCCCCCCAAAGACGACGACTGTCTCATGTCCAAGGAGACCGTCCTCTCTCCGGACGGGCCGGCGGGAACGGGCCCCGGGCAGGAGGCTTGCCCCCTGCTGTCAGCCTCTCACGGTAGGGACTCCACTGCCCCACTCCTAGCTCCAGTTTTAGGCCAGAAAAGCCAACTCAGGGGCTTTTGGAGAGCTTCCCACGAATTGTGTCTGTAAATTTAATAAAATAGCTTCCATGTTCTGACTAGTTTCTCTGAAGTTGTTGACATACAAGCAGCTGATTGAAAAGCCTCCAGCTGACAAGCCAGAAGGTGTCCACTTGGCTCATATGTGCACTAAATTTCCCCCCATATGACTGTAAATGTAATATTCGTTCTCCTCCACGCAGCCGGAGGAGGAGTAATGAAAGTCGGTTATAAATATCAGCCGAACTCGCCAGGTCAAACATGAGAGATAAAGCAGGAATAGAAATATAACTCAGGGCGGGACACTTTCTGCCCGTTTTTGCATGTGTTCATGCAACATGCAAAGTGTCGAGCTTTGATAATGTTTGTGCTTCTTTTGGCCCCAATAAAGTCTTGACGGAACGCCCTGGTGACTATTAACAGCAACCACAACCAATTATAGTTTTTAATTAACTTTCTAGTTGCCCCTCAGATTATCACATGTAGAATAAGCTTACCCCCACACCCCTTTTCCATTTTTCTCCAACCAAGCAGTGGACCGTTAACCATCCTATTTATACCGAGCATCATTATGGCACTGTCAAAAAATAGTAAAGTAGGACAAAGTAAGCAATCACTGGGGCTGCTGGATGGTGAATGGATTTTCTCTGGACCTTTCCAGGCACTTGCTGTTAAGACTAGATCTGCCCTCTCAGGGGATTGCGGTTGTACTGAGAAAAGAGCCATTTATTTCGAACCGATCACTAAATAATGCCACGCATCGCACAGTTGTGTCGCTAATCCGGCTGCCTTCCGAGCTGAGATACGGCATCTCTATCCGGCGTTTTGGCCGGCTCTCCCCTGGTTTGTCCCCGCTCACAGACGGAGGTGTTTACAGCAGCTGTTAGCGTGATTGCAGGGTTTGCTGATCCGCCCCTCAGCAGCCTCTCCGCGGGACCTCACACTCAGCCCGTCAAGCTCCAACACGACTCAGAAAGACTCCGGACGGGCGTCTGGAGTCCTTGTGGTTTCTTGTCTGCGTGCAAAGAGCCGACCCTTTTGAAAGCGCCTCTGGTGTCTCCGCGCGGTTATCGGCCCGGGCGCTTTTGCCCTCGCGCTTTTTCCAGTTTGGATGAATGCTGCCTTTATGGCTGCCGAGGAAGGTTGGCAGGTAGAGCGTTGAGCAGAGAAAAATGCGAACCAGAGCCCAGGCACCTGGTTCACCTGAACCTCCCCAACGGGTCTCGCAGTTTGCCAGTTGGCCTGTTTTTCTCCGGCCCGATCGGGGCTGGTCTCACCTCTGGCCTGGTGTTCGGCCCACTCCGGCCTGGACCAAAGAGCTCCCTTCTCTTTCTGAAGAAAAAAAGCTTGTTATAGAGCCTGATGATGTTAAGGCCGTTTGCAGCTGTGTTTTTGCTCTTGAACTGTGCATAACATGAAATTCTTGCGACCCCAGATGCTTGTGACAGTGAATCATCGGGAGGAACATCGTCTCCCAGGAAACCACCCGCTGGAGGACAGAGCCACGTGACAGAAGAGAAGCCTAATTATTGCAAGCCTGTAAGAAGTAAGTTTTAACGACCTGAGAAAGCTGTGGGCGGACAGCAGGACATCTCGCTGTTATTCTTAATGATAAACAACAATGAGCCATTTAATTGGAGCGAGTGAAAATGATTAATGTGCTTCGAAGAGATTAACAGTGTTTGATTTACCATTCCAATATTAAGCCGTTCATTCCCTCTTCTTTTTTCTGGCGTGATGACGCTCCACCTGTCAGGAATGACACTTGACCACGGCCAACATTCACCAGCCGGGGTCAGTCAGCCAACTAAAATATTAGCTCTAGTGTTTCCAATTAAAAGTGATATCCAGATAGCCGCGAGGTCTCCCCCGTGCCGCCATAACGACCAGGACTTGGCTGGTTCGGCCATTTTTACTTCTCCTCCCCAAACCCTCAGCTCTGTGTTTTGGAAGTGTGGAAATCCTGTTTGTGGTTCTGGCACCGGCCGACTTCACACACTGATTGAATCTCAGCCGCAGTGTTTTTACCCTCTACCAAACATTTACCTATTGGAGAAGAATTGTGCCAGCTGCCAGCTGGACTTTTCTCTCTTTTTCCATTTTATTTTTCACCAACTTGGGAAGCTTTCTTGTTACTTTGAACTAATCCTGTCATTTTCTGCTAATGCACAGCCCAGCGAGGTTCTGCTTGGCCCTGATTTGCCATGCTCCAGTTGGTTCAAGGCCTGATTAAATGCAGTTTTGGGGTAATTCCACCTGATATGAAGATGAATGTTGCAGCCCACCAAACGCAAAGCTTGTGCGTGTGTGTGTCACTGTTCCTAATCGTGTCAACACGTGCTAAAATCAGCCAATTGCTTCCTTTTCCTTTGTGTGTAAGTTGTTAACTTTTCCAGAGCAGCTAAAATCTTTTTTTTTCCTTTCTTTTTTTGTCTCAGAGCTTAATGACTTGTTTACCATAGTGTATGGAAAACTGATTTCATGAGGGAAGAAAACTGGGAGAAAAACGCTTTTCTGTTGAGGTCCTTTTTTGCTTGGCAGGTGTGTGGAGAGCTGGGAGGCATGCTTTCTTTTCATCTCAGCAGATAAGCTCCTGTGACAACAGTTTTGTTTTGTAATTGATGTCTGGCCCCCCCCCCCCCCCAGCTCCCCCACCTCAACATCCAAACGTACTAGTCTCTCTCTCTCTCTCTCACATGCACTCAGAGGCTGGTAAAAGTATTTTAGATTACACCGCTTTGAAGTAAATGCCAAATTTCCACTGTTACACTCGCTGTAAACCACAGTGCCAGAGTCTTGATCTGCCCCTCATTTCTTTTCTATTTTCTATTCTTTCAAAGCAGTCTTGAGCAATAGCTCTCCAGGCTCTGTGAACGTCTTTCAAATGTTCGTTCTTTGGGCACTGGCTTCTTTTGCAGTGATTTTTTGACTCTTTATTTGACATTTGTAGAGTATTTTTTTTGCCTTTGTTAAACCCGCTTACCGTAAAGAAAGTGCCGATCTGATGGGATGATGCTGGGATATATCAACGTGTTAATGGAATATGTTTAAGGAATGGAAACAGGGAGGAAAGGCAGAGAGGAGCTTTGGGACGTCCTTTGAGAAGCCTGGAGAGCTTCTCCTGAAGACTCCTTACAGACAGGACATGGAGAGGGTTCAGAGATGGAGGAGAGAGCAGCTCAGAGCAGATCATGACTTTAGAGCGTTTTCTTGGCGATGCCGAAAGCGGCGTCTGAATACTCGCAGACTTGCTGTAGCCTTGTTGTGTTGAAGGGGGGCAGTCTGCTAGCTGCCAGGGGTAATTGAGAGCAATCTTCACCACAGAAACAGGAAATCAATAAGAAATCATCTCCCTGCCTGCATCTCAGCCTCCGCTGTTTTATCCCCCCCCCCCCCGCCCCGCCTCGCTGTCTGGTTTAAAAACCAAACAATAGCCTCGGCCCTGTACGATTCCTGGTGCATTCCCAGCCAGAGGAAGCTCATGGTGGAGCTGTGATGACAGTCCGAGGGATGAGAACACAAACACGGCCGGGCTCGGGCTGTGGTGAGAACGTTCTTCATGGGAAACAGGATGCACTTGTAGGAAAGTCTAACAAACAATTCTGCGATGCCACACAGATGCTGCGTGCGGCCCTGAGTTGCCGTCAGATAAGTCTGATTGTTCTAGAGCCGCCTGTGGCATGTCGGACAGTAAAAGGACACATTTCCTTCCTGTTTCTTCACGTTTTTGCGACTCCTCAGGAAGAGGTTCAAACAGCTGATAGCTCCTCTAAATATGCCCCCCCCCCCCACCTCTGCAGCCCCTGCCTTAGAATGAATAAAACCAGTTTGAGTTGAGAAGTTTAATCACATTATTCACTGAATTGGGAAATACCTTTTTAATACTTTTGTAGTTGATAAAAGTGACCTTACCAGCCTCTGAGGAATGGGCCTGTGTTTTTATATTTTTAATTTATTATCTCGGTTTAACTTTAGTATGAAAGGAAGGTCAAATAACACGACTTTCCTTTTTCTTTTTTTTTAAAATCTAGGCATTAAAGTGGCCTTTCTGGGGATCTCTGATTCAGTTCTTTGGTGGCACACGTTCGGGTTTATTACCTGCGTGCAGAGTTGACCTTTCAGAAGTGAATTTTGTGACCTCTAATAAAAGCAGCAAAGGGATTGTTTCACTGGGATAATTTTACCGCCCAGTTCCTGGTAAAATAAGTCGGAACATCCAGATTTCTATACAGCATTCTGGAGATTTTCGTGCTGAAGTTTAAATGAAATGAAAGCAATTGCTCAGAGTCCACGTTTTCACGCTATCACACATTAACTTGCCGGCTTCCCAAAGTGCCTGAAGTACTTTGGAGACTTTTAACCTAATGTCAGTTTGCTTTTCTCCCAATCCGCCGGCATGCTGATTATTGTTTTGCAAGATTCGTGTCTTTATTGTAATCCTCAGAGCCCTGTCTCTGAAACAATGTGTCTGAAGCGTCGCCCTGATATAAACTGAACCATAATTTTCAAGTGATTACTTACCAGTGGGTCATAGAATCAAAAACTGTATAAATAGGGTGAAATGCTAGTGTAGGGGTTGATTAAAATGGTCATTGTAATGCTACCTCTGTTGTAATTATTTTCTCATTGTCTTGGTGCAGATAGATTTCATATGGGAAATTTCAAGTGTGTTAATTAGCATATTTTACTCAAAGTGCCCAAGACTATTCACCACTCTTTTTTTTTTTTTTTGAAGATATTCAAAATACTTGAGCCAAATGATTAGATATGCAAACCTCAATTCATGGAACACATTTTTTTTAAGTGCACATTAGATACAAGGGAACATATATTGCTTTTGATTGCAGAGGAAGGCTGTAGTTTCTATTTTCTCTCGAGGAGAGTTTGAGTTATTTTAACACCAGCTGACCTTTGTGCCTATAGGGTTCTTGTGCTGATGATATCTGAATGGTTGAACCTTCACATATTTTTCCTTAATTAAAGCAGCAATTTCCACACATAGAAATACTTTAATGGCTACTCAGACGCGAGAGTGTTAAGCACAGGTAAAGTAGTCCTTCCCAGCCGGAGCCACACATGACAGCGCCAGCGCTTTTCACCAGCAGCTCACAGCCAGAAGGGGAGGAGAAAAATCAACTAGTTCAAATGACAGCAGAGCAGGGGGGATTACTTGGCCCCTAACAGGGTTTTGGCACCAACATTAAGGTTAAAACCCTTTTCTATTATGAGATCTCTGCTGATGTTGCCCCCACTAGCCCTGAACCCCTCGAGCTTCCAGCTCCTTGCCCCTTTCGTGTTTGCAGGTTCAGTGACTCGCTGCTAGGTCATTCTGCGAGGCCCCCTGATCAGCGGAGGGTGACCAGGGACCGGTGGCTGGCTCCCGTCCAGCCCCACAGACAGCCACAGCCGACACCTCCTCCCCAGCCTTTCCCTCTCAGGCTAGAGCTAAAATCAATACAGGCGTCTCTGTGTTTTAAAAGCCACTCAGAGGCAGACGAGCACCCCTGTCCCGAAGGCTGATCTGGCAGCTTAAGGCCTTGATTGGCATCCCGAAGATACGAGGCGCTGACCCACAGCTGTCCCATTAGCAGAGGGTTAATGCTGAGATTGATACCAAGCAAATAAAGGAACTAGATGTGGGGGTATTTTGATAGACTCGCCATCCCCTCTGTGACCCCCAGACAGACCTCAGATGTATTTTGGCTCAAGTGCCAGATCCTCACCTCTAACTGGAGTTTAGCCTGTGTCATCGGGTGGATCTGGAGTTGTGTGTTCCCCTGCATTTCTGCATGTGCGCGCCTCTTTTGGAAAAAGAAAAACACGCATGTCGGCAGGCCTGCCGTTAAAATTCAAACACGCGAGCTTCCTGTGGAAAGAGATTTTGAAGCAGTTGGAATATTTGAGTCATCGATGTAACTGAAACTGAAAATACCCCTCCCTCCCTCCCTCCTCTCACTCCTGCTCTGTTGCTCGGTTTTTGTTGTGAGTCGTCAGCGAGGAGAGGGTGGAGCACATGTTTTTGGGTGTATGAAGCCTGGCAGCTCCCTCAGGCCTGCTCTGAGTCACGTCATAATTGATCTTTCTAGAAATTGCGGTAGCTGCTTGTGTAAAGTCTAAATCTGAGCAAGACGTGCGGCTTTTTGAAGAATACAGCGGCGCTCGCTCTCCACTCTCGGCTGGTGAGAAACACATGAAGAGGGAAAAGCATTTGACAAAGCTTAATGCGGAAACAGTCTCGTGCAAATTAGTCTGAAAAGAGTGGAGGTTGGCAGAATAAGTCTCCGTTTGGTGTCGCGCTCTGCAGTTTTGAACCGAACCGACTCTTGCCTTCGGCTGTGCTCCATTGGCTAGCCTTAAATTAGCACCATGCCGAATTCCACGCAACTGTGGGGACTTCTGCCACAGGAACCTTTGGTTTCGAGGGAGGGAGGCGGGGTGGGAGGGAGGGAGGGAGGGAGGGAGGGAGGATGACTTTCTTCCCTCAACATGATTCATGGAGGAGAAAATGGCATCTCATTGGGAGATTTGGTGATTTAGATAGCAGTCAAACATATTAATCTAGGAGAATGTTCCATTTTCAAATCAAAGAATAATTGATGACACCCCCCCTTCACACACACGCACACACACACACACAGCCATCGCAGATTTACCACTTGTGCTGAGAGGTTCATTTTGTCAAATCAAGCTCTCGTCCTCAAGATGCCTTTGCTGCTGTTAGAAGTAATTAAGCAGAACAAGGTCCGACGGGGGTTCCTTTTTCCACTCAGTCGGCAACAAAATTAGAAACTTGTAAATCCCCAACATATTTCCTGTTGTGGGCTGCGCCAACTAAAAACACGTTGAGCAGCAGCCCTCCCAGCCGGTCCAGAGCGGCGCCAAAAGCAGCCAAAAACGGGGACGTTTCCGGTTTAAATGAGATGCTGCACAGTCTGATCAGCCCCGACAAGTGAAGACGGCTAATAGAGTTCTGTCTCCGGCCACACACACACACACACACACACACACACACACACACACACACACATACACACATGCACCACATGTCACTTCTGCCGATGAGAATCCCGTGTCAGAGCAGGTAATTTAGCTTTCTTAAGCGGGTCATCATCATCCGCACATCAGCGCCTTATCTGGGATAAATAGAAAACACTGTGCGGCTGAGGGGGGGCTGAGGGGGGGGCTGACAGCACCCGGACTGCTGTGTGATGTCCACAGTCACTTTTTCTGCCCCTTTTTTCTAATATCTGTTGGAACAAGTGACATTTCTGTTAGTCCGTGTCAGGCCGCCATCCAGCCTGTGTAAACGCACCAGACAAGGCCTCCGGGTGTGCATGGCGCCCCCCCCACCCCCTCATCCCCACTGCTGTCCATCCCAGCCACTGATATCTGCATTATATTGATCCTAATCAGGTACTAATTTTATTTTATTTAATGGGCCGTTTGACTGTTAATCCACGAGTGACTGATCATGTTTCCTTCCATCCAGTCCTCCTCCACCATAAAGAAAGTCCTTGTCCTGGAGTTTAGAAGGTCAGGCGGTAAACGAGGCTTTGATTCGCCGAAAGGAAAATTCCAATCAGAGCCCTTTTGTAATAACATTCATTGCACTATTTTCCTCTCTCTGTGCGTCCTCCTCGTTCTCTCTGCAGTATAATTCCCCTGGTTTTGCGTCTATAAATACGGACAGGGAAGATGTATAATTTCTAATGAGAAAATATATCCCTTTGGATTGAAAGGCAGAGGCTGTCCCACACGCTGCTGTTTGTTAGGAGGAGAGATGATACCTCGGGCTGTTTTGGCGGCGGGAGGAGGAGGAGGAGGAGGGGGGGCTGGTGGTAGTCTGGCTAGGTCATTGCACATTTACAAATTAGCATTTCAATCATGCAGGTACATGACCAGTGGAGCAGAAAATATACATGTTTTTCCAAGACAAGGCACAAAAAGATAAACAAAACACCGGCCCGGTGAGGGGGATTTGCATTTCACAGCTAACCGCCGCCGCGCATTCTCACCGTTTCTGTTTGAGGCTCGTAACCAGAACTAAAGGGGCCTCCACATGCTTGCATATTCCATTCAGTGTTAACTCACAAACTCATAGCATTGTGTAATAAAGGCTATTAGGGGACAACTACAAGATCTAAATTGTGGTGTTTTATTTGGAGGGAGTGATGTGACATTTGAATAACTGTATGCTTTCTTATGATGGGCATTCTAATAAGCCTGAGCAAACACCTTTCCTCTCTCCTCTCCCTGTTTCTCTCCGTCTCGGGGGCATTAATATTAAAAAGGACTGAGCTTTAGAAAGGCAGGGCTCGTGTGATTGTTCAGTCTGCTCTATGCCTTACCTGCAACTCTTCATGTAGTGCTGTGCAAATGAGAATATCTGCGCCGCCCTGTTTGACCTTTCCAGGTATATTTTCATCTTCTCCACTCCTTTAAAAGTCTTGTTTATACAGCTTTGTTTCCGTTGACATGCATGCATGCATGCATGTATGCATATTTCTCCCAGCCCGGCCTTCCTGTGTGTGTGTTTTCGTGTGACACACAGTCGGCCTCCTCTTCCTTGATGTGTCTTTTGGGTGCAATTTCCCGTTCCCTCCTGTAGGACCTATTTTCTGTGACAAAAACGGCGGTGTTTATACAATATACTCCGTTTTCCATACAGAGCGATCCCCTGCACAGCTCCGGTGCAGCTCCGGCGCTCTCCAGGCACTCCGCTGCTCGGTCCCTGTGTGGCGCAGCCACTGAAGACTCGGTGACAAATGGCAATTATATTTGTGTGTTCTTCATGAATCCATCAAACACTGGCCTTTTAAAAATGCTCCCCAGATATTTGAGGCTGTCAGCTAGTAGTAGCTGGGACCAAATTGGGATGCTGCTTAGACAGTCAAGAAGCACTCACCCCCTAGTTTCCCCTGTGATGTGTGTGACAGCGTGTGTAGGGGAATACCATGTTTTATTCAGCTACAAATGTACACTCTCAACAGTTGTTGATGTGCTAGAAATAGGGCAGTTACAAGTTCAATTTGAAGCCTGCGTGCTTTACATGTGTGTCCAGTTCTTTTTCTTTTTCCCAAACAGCGTTGTGATGCTGTAGATTTAATGAGACTTCCCGAGCAAGTTTGTCTGTTTGCTTGTTGACATGTGCTTTAATTGGAGCTGTTGAAGAGATATATGAAGAAAACATGCAGGGAAAACTGATAAGAGTTGATTCAACAGAGGTACAAACACGCGAGGTGGACACACGGTTAATCTCCTGCCAGTCATATGTTAAAAAAAAAAGCCTTAATGTTTGGGAAAATTATTATTCAGTATTTGCTTGTTTTTGCAAAGACAAATGGTGGATCGGCATCACTTAAACGGTTCGACTAAATCCTCGTCTAGTAGAACTGTTTTTTTCTTCACTTTGTCAGCTACAGCACATTCGGAACCGGTCCAGTAACTCCCACTACTTCACTGCAGCCGTGACAATATGAAGGGAAAGCATCGGGGATTGGCATTGTGAGATAATTAGGCTGCCTTCTTACTTCGGGGCTGGACATAAGCAACACGCAGCTGTCCTGCAGACTGACGGAATCCAGAAGAGCCTCTGTGTTCAACTTTGTGTTCAGTAAGCATGTGTTTCTTCAGATAAATAGTGATATCTGTGAGCATGCTGTGTTCCCATTGGCCGGTTTTACAAGGTTCCTACAGCACTGAATGAATAAAGTAAATCAGAGGTGAATCCATAGGACTGCGTACGTGCACAAAGAAAGTTTTCCATGTCCCAGCTCACTTTCGGAGCTCCTTACTGTATTCAGGCTTCCTCTCATTATCCCTTCATTTGTCTCTCTGTGATTGGACAAGTCTGTCATTGCCATCTCTGACAGTATCATCATTACGATGATCAATGATTATGAATATTGCTCCAACGCGCCCATTCGTCTCCGTCAGCGCGTTCATCAGGTTAAAAATAAAGAGGGCTTAAAGGGTATCCAGGGACCTGCCACCGAGCAGCGCGGGCCCTCCGAGTCAAACCACTTCTTGGGGCTTCGCAGCGTGTCTGAAACTCCAGTCACCGCTAATGCACTCCAGTTTTACGTGGTGGTTTCTTAAGTATTTATACTTTGGCAAATTAAAAGCTTGACTTCCTCAGAAGGAAAGGTAATTATGCCTCCCAGTCTACTTTGGCCTTTTTGTGTCCAGACGTTTGCGTGTGAGGGTCCATGCGGCCAGTTCCCTTAACATAAACGGGGAAAAATGACTGTTATTATGGATATTATGCTACTACAGGGGATTGATTTTTGAAGGAGTTGTCATCCTCCTGAGAAAAAAGTTTGCCGGGTTGAACTTAAGCTGCATCATTTTGGTCGCTGGAACAGGCGGGGGTGTCGAACCCCAGCGATGTCAACGTGGAAACAATAAAACACCCACAATTTGATGGATGGACTTTCAGTTGAAATTTAAAATGTTAATTCCTCTCCACAAAGTCAGGAAAGGACGCGGGTCTCGGCTTTAGTTTCGACTCTTCTCTGGGGCTTGTGAGTCTCGATCCGGTTAGTTAATGACTCATTTGACCTGACTGACACTGAAAAAAGGAGCCGGGCATGTTGATTAAAAATGGGTGAAAAGCAGGAACAGATGCAGCCTAATGTGAGCCTCCTTGTTAGAACACTTTAGTCTTTCCCCACATTGTCATGGGCACGCTGTGAGGCTTTTGTTTTTGGGAGAAGAAAATCCATCAACCTGCTCTTAAATCACTGCATAATGAATTCTATGGTGTGCTACCCAGCTGTCTAATTCAAATTGCATGGGATCTGGATCCCTAAAGTCTGTATTTGTTTATCGGAGCAGCGTGAAGAAACCCGAATGAGGAGAAGGCAAAAGCCAGCGTGCGTATTTAATTGCTTTGTTTTACATCCACATTCCCGTCCGGCCTCTCCCGGGGTGATGCGCTGGTAAAAACTGCAAGGCCCCATTCTCACACTCCGCTCTCTTGTTAACAGTAATTGCACTTGTTGGTGAGCTGACAGGAAGAAAATAGAGATGGAAAGAAATTACCAGCACGTCGGGCGTTTGCATCCACTCCGGAAAATGCAGCTGCCTCTCGGACAGCTGCGGAGCGCCTTAACAAACCGCCACAGCTTCCTCTTTCCAGCTGTTAGATCCCACTCCACACCGTCAGTGTTTATAAAGGCAGTATCACATGCTTAGGAAAGGGGAAAAAAAAAAAAGAAGTTTGCCCGGTTCACACAGACTAACTTTAAAAGAGATGAATTATTCAGAAAAGCTGGCAGCACATGCACGGGGGCTCTGATGTGGAGGGGGGGCGTGGGGGGGTAATGCAGGGGAAAACTCCCAGTAGAGCTGAATGTGCAGGTGCTCCTCGGTAAAGTGCCACCTCCTTTAGCTCACTCCCATCCTTCCCCTTCCTTCTTATCAGACAGGTCGCTGTCTTCTGACTTTCTGGGGCTGTCACACACACACTTAGTGGGACTGGTTGAGGCCATCTGTGAGCCTTCAGAGGAGGGAAGATCATTACCGGCGCAGACAGCAGCCATTTTATGTATGTACACTATCACAGGCTTCCCTCGCCTTTTTTTTACCAAATGAATCTCTCTGCCTCGCAGCGTCTTAACTGGCAGCGCGTCTGTCTGCAGCGCTGGCTTTTGTGATCCCGCCACCTGCGCGTCTCTTTCTGTCACTCTGGGGTGAAATATTTGCCGTACGATCGATATTATCCCGTCAGGAAGCGGAGCTGTGATTCGCAGAGAATGATTTGGCTTGGAAACGCGCAGCATCTGAAGCCGCTCTGACTCTTTTTCATGTGAAAAAATCCATGCGGCGCGAGGTGCACAGAGTGCTGATAAAGTTCTCGTTCAGCGAGAATAAAGTTTAATGAAAGGAGTCTGCAACTCTTCTATTCAATTTGACAGCCATATAACAATTTAAGTGATTTAAGTAAACCACCGGCTCCCAGTTTCTTTCTCAGGTGTCGGCATTTTGCAGTGTTTTGTCTCCGCTCACGTCAAAAACAACGGCCCCACTCGTCTGCGGGATCTAAATGGCTCCAGTTGTATTTAATTGTTGTTTTTGCCTGCAAGTGTTTCATTTGAAGAAATGGAAAAAAGGGAAAGTTCCTCAGCTAACACGCCGTAAAAAAAGAGTCCAACTTTTTAGCCAGACAGGAGTGAAAATGACTTCCCTTTCTCTGGGTTTTTCCCCACCAGCTCAGCCGCAGTCTGAGGCTGCGGAGGGAGGCTTCGGCCACGCCGGCCCCCCCCCGGCGCTGAGCAACGGCGCAGGGGCGCCTCCGGCCGTGCGCACCTGCTCCTGCGGCGCCAGCGCCGGCACGGCGGCGGCCGGGTCCAGCGCGGCGGGGGGGCCGGCGGCCACGACGGAGCAGCCCCGCAGGCAGCCGTCCACGCCCGTGTCGCACAGGGTCCAGAGGAAGCTGAGGTCCAGCCTGTCGGTCAACAGCGACAGCAGCCGGCGCAGCAAAGGCAGCTCCACGGGCTCCCAGAAGCCCCCTCTGCCCGAGGGTGAGTATCCAGCACGGTCACAGCGGAGCGAGTAAAGGAGACGCCCCGCCGCCGACACGCCGCTGTCTCCTCAGGCCGGCTCCTCATGATTAAAGATTGAATTTAACTACATCAGCCATGACATAAGCTGCAGGATTTAGTCATCCAGTGTCATTTCTAACCTAATGAGAGCGCCGGCTGCCACATAAAACCAACCTTCTTTGCTGTAATACTACTAATTTTATCAGTCAAACGCTACCTTTTCCTCTGCAAGGCTGCACAAAAGAGGCATTCTCTGTTTACTGCGGAGTTATCCGCAGAGGCACAGCGAGATGAGGGCAGCTTCAGGCGTAATGGGGTTATTCTTAGGAGGTGTCCGCAATAACCCCTCAGAAGATATTGATAATAAATTCTTACCTTCTCTCACCTTTTAATGATGGCCGTGCATGACCTCACATATTTATCACGGGCATCCAGCAAATGACATCTTATCTTTCTCCTGTGGCTTTTATTTCCTTAACAATAAGTCAGAGGATCCGCTTGCCATGCAGGGAAGCCGTCACTTTGTCAGGTGCAAGGCTGAGGTGAGTCCAGTAATGAAGGCGGCTGGCCGGTCCTCTTCCATCGGGGAGATAGGTGCGACCGTCTAACGAGGCCTGAGAGCACGGGGTGCCTATTATAAGTCGTGACCAGCTTTCTTCAGGCCCCTCATGGCCCCTCACACCTCTCTGGGCCCTTTTTGGCGCTCCCCACATCCCGTCAGCAACACCTCGGCCCTCATTAACGGGGTCCCGCCGCCTCCCCCCTCCAACCGCTGTGGCCATCTGTGTATTCACAGACTTGTGTTCTCTAACTTTCGCGTGCGAAACCGGATGCAAAGCCTGTTTTTTTCCGCCTTATTCATCCCACCCAAGGCTTTTTCTGTTTGCTCTCATTATGCATCTTTCCTCCAAGACAGCTTGTAAAATAAGACATAATTCTACGCTTTCAATGAAAGATCACAGCGCCTGGGTTGAGATATAAGTTCAAAAGAGAGAGAGAAAAGAGAGCGCTCGCATCTTTATTTGATGAAACCTGAAATATGCATCAGAGCGAAATGCACACTAACAAAACAGAAAGGTTGCCACAAACCACAACAGCTCCCGGCAAAAGGTGGAAAGCGTGCGTGGCAGACGCGCCTCACGTCACCTTTTCCGCGTCTCAATTGGTAAAGAGCAGAAAAGAGTGCAGAAAAATGAAAGGGCGGCAGCTAAACACGGCTCATTATGGCGTTTTGCGTTGCTTATTTGAAGACGCCGGAGCTCTCAGAATCAATATGTTCTCTCTCTGCTGTTTATTTCCCCCCGGAAAACAGCACGCTGTTGTGTGTTTGAATGTTTACACGGATTAGCATAATCTGTTTGCCTGTGAAATTAGCCTCCTAAACAGCCCCTGAACACAGGAAATGAAAGGCGTGAGCTAGCAGTGAGCTAGCTCTGGGGAATCTGTTGCTCGGTGTTTTTCTTGGCACAGGCCTTTGGCAGCGGAGCCAATCGGAGATAAGGCCGCCGCCTCTGAGCAGTAGTCTGCCGCGCGGCTTTTGTGCGCAAATCTCTTCATCCAGTTTTGTGTTTTTTGTTAATTGTGTGTAATCGGTTCAGGTCTCCAAGCCGCTTTAGCCTCATTTACAGAATCCCCTCCTATTTACTGGCTTTCCTGCCTTAGAGGGCAGCTGTGAACCTCGACCTGTTTGTGTGTGTGTTGTGTAAGCCCCCGCTCTCTAACGCTCTCTCTTTCTTCTGTCATACATTATAAACACAGTTGCTTTTAAGTTGCCTGTGGTGGACCTTGACTATCCACATGCTCTGCTCTCCTAACCCGTGCGTGCTTCCCTCTGTGCATTCCCTCCACCGCTGAGGCTTTTTGTCTGACCGGCCTCTCCTTCTCTTTATCTGGGGATATCTTGCCCCCTGACTCGGTCTTTGTGAGTTTGAATGTTTTGCACAGCTTGCTGCTCTGAGGCCCATCCGGCTTGTTTTGTGTCATGCCGCTCCCCCTCTTTCTCTTTTTTTTCGCTTGATGTTAGCTTTCCAGATGTCTCATAGTATTTCCTCAGAGGCGCCGGACGCTGTTTTTGGCCCAGCAAAGCGGGCTTCATCTCCACTCGCTGACATTAAACAGGAGCATTGTCAGTCTGCGCTGCTCCGTCTGTCTGTTGCTTGGTTTCACTCAGCCTCTGTCTGTCTCTCTGTGTTTTCATGGAGATGTGCCTCGTCCAGCTCTCTTGTGTACAATGCACAGCCCTCCCTGCTTCCCCTCCTCCTTGCTGCCTGCTGTAAGATCCAGACTAATTGCTGGTGTTGAATTATACATCCAAGTGAATAGCTAATAGCTGGCCACTGCTTAATGCCTATGTACTGTGTTTGTATCGTATTCTCAGGATGCCGTTGCATTCTCAGTGCTGGCATAGCTTTACCCTCTGGGTCCTTCAGAGTTTGTTAGACTGAACTTTTAGCTTTTGTGCACGCGGCGCAGATCACAGACGTGCCCATCCAAACCGTCAACATCAATTGCGCTCTTCTCTGTTTTGGAATTCCCGTCAAATCACTATTGGTCATCGTATTACGTGTTTGAATTCTAGAGTGAACTCGTTAAGCTAATTAACGGTTGCATGTTCCTCACAGTGACTGCAGGTTGATGTTTTAATGATTCCAGTTCTAAAATCTGGGGTTGCCTCTCCGTTAGTGGCACAGAAAGTTGGAGGACGGTGAAGGTGTGCAGAGACACTGACGATGCCGCGTGGACCCGAGAGCGCGTTTCATTTGTTGCTTCAGTCATTGTTTGTCAGACGACTCCGCTGCCAAAGACGGAGGGCAAATAAGGATTAGTGGCTCGGTCATGGCCATTAGTGCAGCTCAAATATGTTTACGGCTTCCAAATGAGTTCGGACCTAATGTTTGTCTTTCTTTTGACTGTAGTCTGCTGATGGTCCAGATGGTTCATTACAGACAGCTCTTATACCGCCGTCCTGCGTCTTTTTGGAGCACTTTGCCTGATTATTCTCGTCCCTTTCTGTGGATTTTCATTCAGAAGGTAAGCGAGGAGGTGTTAGGGTTGACTCGGGTTAGCTGCCATGCCACTGACGTGTTTGCTTGATACAGAGGGGGAAAAAGAGCCAGATGTCGACCACTGGCTGAAAATGGGGTACTTCCAGTGGCCCGCCGAGCAGATAGTGCGCCCACTTGTGATTATTGCTGTCAGACAGCAGCACATGACAGCAGCTGCCAGTTAAGGAGACAACCTGGTGTTAGTTCTGGTATGAAATGAATAATTCACCCTCTAGCAGTTTACTGGAAGTCCACCTTAAATGTTCAGTAGTGGAAAACTCTCATGCATCTTCCATCAGACAGCTCCATGTCTTGAGATGAGGATGATAAGGTAAAGCAGACTTCAGGCAGCCGCGCAGACACAGACACGTACGATCTTGCCCTTTCGCGCTCCCTCTCCATCTTGTTTGTATCTCCGTCAGTCAGAGCTCCTGGTCAGCTCCGTAAAATTAGGCGGAAAAAAAGTCAAAATCCCCTCTACTTTGATTAATGAAACATGAGCATTCGGCGGCCCTCAGCGTGCCTCCCCAGTCCGTCCACCACACTCCGCTGTCCCTCTCAGCCAATCAGGAGCAGCCCCTTCTGACAGCTCGGGAGGGGCTGATGAAAGTTATGCAAATGCGCCCTGTTTGTACGGCTATTTTCTGCATCCGTCCACATCATGTCTGTTTAACGCTCCTCTGGCCTCAGATGAAAAAAAAACAAACTACAAAGCGATACAAGATATTTAGCAAGGGCTAATAAGTGTACACATTTGTTAATTTTATTTGAAACTTTTACACTAAAAAATGAACCTGTTAGTACTTGAATGCTCTCTGGAGCTGATCTGTTGCATCACGGACAGTCCGTGCTTATTTATGTTTAGATGTCAGAGCAAAGTCCAGTCAGTGACTGAGCCGGTGTTATTGTTATTTTTTCCATCAGCGAGCGCCTTAGCTCATGTCGTAATTACACTAACACCAACAATGTGGACTTCTGAGAAATGAAACTAATTTGTAAAATAATGTTGGAAGGTTTATTTCCCAGTCGGTAACCCAGGTAACAACCCTGACCGTTACATCATTCCCCGAGGCAGAATAGCAGGTTAAAGTCAGGTCTTTCTTATTTTATTTTTCATCCGAAAAAGCAAATACAGTTTGTGAGTTAGATGGACGGCTTTGCTTTTCTTAAATTTTCTCCGCTAAACTTTGTCCCACGTCAGTGCTCTTTCAAACCGGCCTATAGCATTTTAATGAAACATGTCAGCTTCTCAGCATCTCAGAACCAGGTTCCCGATGGTTAATCGGCGCATTAGTAACTGGAAGGGAAGCTCCCTGTAGCTGCCAAACAACAAGCCGAAACCCTCCAGCCGCCACACAGAGGCTCAGTGCTGAGGTTAGATGTTAATCAGAGGTTTGAGCTTTGCTGGAATTAATTCACCTATTTGCAGGGGAGACAGTCTCCGACTTTTGCTAATCATCTTTGTTTGATATTCTTTGCATTTTGCATGATAATGCCACAATTATTCAACAGTCTGTTAATCCAAACTGCAGGGGAGGAATTGATTTCTCTGACTTTTTCTTATTTTCCTGACCAGCGCTCGTCCTTTAAGCGCCCGCTTGGCATGCGTCACTCACAGACTAACCTCGCTCTGCTTTTTCCGGCACTTCAGTAAACACTCAATTTGCATTTTTCCATTCCGTTGGTTTGTCTTTGTTTTGTTCAAAGTCATATTTTTCTCCTGATTTTATTCCCATACTCGCGTCTCGTCTCGTCGCCTCTCGTCTCGTCTCGTCTTGTCGCGCCGGCTTGGTTTTGGACCCAGACTGCTGCGTTCACTGCATCTTGGCTTGCCTCTTCTGCGAGTTCCTGACGCTTTGCAACATGGTGGTGGCCCAGGCCTCGTGCGGCGCCTGCACGTCGGAGGCCTGCTGCTGCTGCTGCTGCACCGACGACCTGGGCGACGACTGCAACTGCCCCTGTGACATGGACTGTGGCATCATGGACGCCTGCTGCGAGTCCTCGGATTGCTTGGAAATCTGTATGGAGTGCTGCGGCATCTGCTTTCCCACATAGGGAGGCCTGTGATGGTGGAACCAAGAGGAAGAGAGGGAAGGAAAACGCCGCTGCCACTTTAATCCAGCAGATAGATGGAGGTGTGTGTCTGTGTGTGTGCGTGTGTGAGTGTTTGCCTGTAAGAGTGATGGCTGACATGCGTGTTACTATAAATGTGTTTGGACGCTGAGCTTCTCCATCAAAACCGGCTTAGCTCAGGCTAAAAGTAGTTACAGACCTATGAACATGTCAGTAAAATCTTCAGTGTATTTCTAGCATTCTATCTATTGCGGAAAAGTATTATCACAGACTGCCTTAATGTTGTTAATGTTGTCAGGAATGCTGTCTAGTTCTACTCATCTTTCCTCTACACAGACCTGTTTGATGCATTTCTCTGTTTTAAGTTCAAATACAGTATTTTTGATAGAAACTCTCGGTTGCAGCCATAGTGGTGTACGACACTGTAAAACGTTTATGCGACGGTTTGTGCATTCATGGTCGCATATTTTAGCTTCACAACGCAGACTTCCCTTTAGACGCATCTACTGTACAACAGTTGAAACTGGTGAAATTTCAAAGGTTATTCAGGACATCACACGATCTGCTACCTTCTGACGGTAAGGAAAAGGGGGTTGAAGGGACTAAATGCATTCATTCTTCTCCTGTTGAGTGTAAAAAAGATCAAAATGTATTGTTACAAAAAGAAACTGCACAAAATTGCTGATAAGCTCAAGATTTTAGCAAAATATTACCAAGTGGTAGAATGTTTTATTTCTGGAAAGAATTTCATCTCAGATGGCCATTTTTGTTAGGAATTGTGGCCTCTCTGGAAAAACAGCACGTTCTTCATCACAGAAAACGTCTGACTTACTCACTGTATGATAGTCTGTATGGATACTAAGTAGAATAATGTGCTCGGCTTAGGTTTTTCTGCGGTCATACATGGGAAGTATGACTGGAATAACTGCACTCTGCTCATCAGGGCGGTGATAAGGAATTAAAAATGGTGACCCTAGTTGCCATATAAGCTGACTTACAATAGAAAGAGCTTCTTATGTCATGTTCAAATTGTAAACCAATGCAGGGTAGAGGCAGTTGTCCTCTCCTTTTTTCTCTCCTTTTACTCTGTGTATCGCCAAATGAGTTTATTGTGAATCACCAGCAGAGTCATTTGCTTGTCCTGGAGATCCGCTTTGATGCTGTTTAAGTGATGATGCTTAATGCTGGCCCTCATTAGCTCTGCTTACTAAATGGCACCCCCCCAACAAAAAAAAGTCCCTTAACGCCCTCAAAGATAATGTGCTGTCAGGCGCGGCTCGTTTCAACAGCGCGCTGTTAAGTTTGGAAGGAGGTTGTTTAGCCACCTCCTCAGCAGATAATGAGCAGAGAGGGAACCTCTTTGTCTCGTTTACGATCAGCTGCAACCATAAGTTTGTATCGGACTAAAGAGTGTCATGAAAACACTATAAATAATGTGAAGAATTATCTAAAACAAGAAGTATGTTATGTAGTAAGTGTCTTATTGTACTCTACTGTTATTTTTTGTTTCTGCTGTGTCTCACTTGATCTTTTCTTCTCGACGCATCATCGCTTACCTTCAATTTGCAGCTTCTGTTATCAGTTTTGCACATTATGTAGGAAAGAGTTTTTCTTTTTTGTACAATAAAACATAACCCAATAGGATGTATTATTTTTTGTGAGTCCTTTTTTTGTCCATCGTCAAACTGTCTAATCTGTGACAACTGTGTAACTGTTTTTCACATTTGTAGAAGAGCTGAAAACCCAAAAATCAGCTGGTTTCAGTTTTACACATCTCTGATAATGGTCCAATTTAAATATCCCAATATGATTAAACTTTACAGTTTGCTTCACATTATCTTCATACCATGTTTGATATGATGCAGAATAAATATAGAAGTTGACTTAGAAGTTGCACAGACTCATTCTCCAAACCATGACACTTCCTCTGCCATGCTTTACAATTAGCTGTAGTTATGGAGGGAGAGGCTCACTTTTGTGAATGCTTATTCTGTCCAGGCAGCTCCACGTGAGTATCCTGTCAAGAGCTATATACTCTTAAAGTTCTGCTCTTTGCATTTCTTTTGGAGCCCTGCCCCATGCTGTTGGCAGCCGTGTCCACGGCCTGTTTTCAGACCGGGTCCTGCTCTGGTAGTGTAACATCCCAGGAATGCCTGAAGGGAAAAGGGTCGAGTTTGGTGCAGACTGAAAAAAAATGTGTTGAGCTGGATGCTTATGGCTCAGATAGCTTTATTCTTGCACCGATTCTTTGGGAATATGTCATGGAAACAAGCAAAACCTCTCTCAGAAACGGTTTGCACACACCTTTCCTGGTCCCCTATCTTCAGGATAGCATCGATGAATACAGCTTTTTTCTGAGGTCATCTGAGAGCAGGGACCTCCTGCTGACCGGGACAGAAGCCCGACCTTTTGCCAACATTACCTCCCGTTAACCCCTCAATTAACATCGATGCCAGCCTCTGTGTTGGAGGAGCCAAGAGGAGACTTTTCTCCTTTTTCCCTCTTTTGTTCCCTTTCATTTTATGCCTGGATACACCCTGACCCCAGGAAATTACCATCTTATTTCACTAATGCGTCGGGGAAAAATATTGCCGTCCTTAAAAGTCCGTAATCATGCAGGAGTTGTACTTTTTTTTTTTCTCTTCCCTTCCCTTCCACACTTACAGGGGACGTGGAAGGCAGAAAAAATTTAGAAAAACTCCAGGTGGAGTGTGCAATGACCTTTTCACAAAGTCTTCCACATTTCAGCCCTTCTAATCAATCCCCCTCTGATCGCTCACTGTGCGCTGGATTGTAATGTCACAATTAGGGCTGCTCCATTGTTTCTGTTTGCCATCCAGGGAGAAAGTCTGCACCGCTCTGATCTCAAGGTCATGCTTTTACACTTTTAAATAAATTAGAGTGAGGCTGCCTTCTCATACGACTACCCACAGATCTGTCTGTTCCTCCCTCTCGCTATTTTCACAGGGATGCTCTTTGGCATCTAAGAGTTGTATACTGATTAGAATTGGGAATAATGTGATTAATTAAACAGGAAAAGAGGGAAGTCATATGCAAATCTGTTTTTTTCAGAGTAGAACATGAGTTTGTTCTTGTAAAGAAAATGCCATTAAATGTCCTTTTTTATTTCCACTGCTTTTATTCCCCAAATTCAGTAACAGCTATCATTACCCAGCTGCTGTAACTGTGCTTATTTTTTTCTGCTTTTATGATATCATCGTTTAAGACAAGTTTTCGGAAAACAATGGCACACGCCAGCGAGCTGTAAACCTTTTAGTCAAGTTTATTCCTACATTTTTAGGTCGAAGTTGTATTAAGACATATTAGAAACCCCAAAAAAGCCCAAACTGATTTGTGTATTCCTGTGCATCACAACACCCCCCACCCCCCCCTCTCACGTCAAAGTTTGAAAAGACTTGACCTCGCTGTTTAGACGTGCAGCATGACATTAAAATAAGATGAGACGAGCCTTCAGAGAGCTGTGCAAGAAAAAAAAAGAGTTCAACTAATGTCACTTTCAATTAATCTCTTCAGGTGCTGCCCCCATTAGCCCCCTCACACATGGGCCTGGTTTACAATGCAAATAAGGTCATTACCTGAGAACTGTAATTGACTTTGACAAGAGGCCGAAGAAGCTTGACTCGGCTCTCCACGTGTTATTTGTTTGCTTATTATTTTTCTTTCACAGAATATTGATGTGGTTTGCCGATTCGAAAAAGAAAAGAAATTGGCCTCTTCTTTGTCTACTTGCTCCAGGAACTAATGCACGTCAGTCAGATTTTTTTTGTAACCAACAAGTCAAACTCAACACTTCCCAAATTACATCAGTTTTAGAAAAAGAGCTTCCGCAATGAAATGTAAATGATTTCCAAGGGAAAGATTTGTATTCTTTGTTCCTATCTCTTCCCAGAAATGCAAACGTGTGATCCGGCTCATACCTTAAATATTTAAAGACCTCCTTTTGCTGGAGCTTAGCTGCTGTGCTGTAGTCGGGCCTCTCGCTGCCTCTAATCTCCTTGTTACCTGGAGGCGTCGCCGCGGCGATGCGCAGATAAACATGTGGCAGTCGGCGAGATCGCGAGACCGGCGTTTGAAAAGCCCTGGATGGGGCACGGCGAGGTTCAAAGTTGAGACGACACCTGCAAACGAAAAAAGGGGGGGAGGCGGGCGGGAACAAAACGAGAGACGGGGGGAAGAAAAAGCCACCTCCACATCAGTCGTTTCCTCTCATCTTCCAGCCGTCGTTGCATCTCGAGCCGCGTGTGCAGGTGGAATTTTTCCGAGGCCTCGGTATTCACGGGGTGTTTGTGCGCTTGTCTTAGGGGAGCTTACTGTTTTATGGATGCCCGCTTTCGGCTTTCAGAGAGAGAAACAGCAGGCAGGAGTCTTGAACCTGTAAATAAGAGATCAGCTTAAAGTTGGGCACTCGAAACTTTTTTTTTTCTCTTAATTTTTTCTTTCGCCTCTGTGTCTGAGAGGCAATGGAGCGTGGGAGAGGCAAATTGAGAGGGACGTGTGGAGCGGGGATGCTTGTTTATTTGCTTGTACGTGCTCCTTGAGCTATAAATTAGATGTCACCATAGTTACATGTCATGTGCTGATGCGGGCGCTTCGGATTCTTTCTTCTTAGTGTCACTTAGATGGACCTGGGCTCCGCTGGCCTCCGGTCAGCCGCTTCTCATCAGGGATTGGCAGGTTGTTCGAAAGGCACGCAAACATTTGCGACCAATCAGGAGCCGCTGCGACTTCCTTTGGCTGCCTTTATTTTATTTGGATAAAATAAATGCCTTTTTATATTGGGTTGAAGATAGCTTTTTTGGGTCGCTTTGAATGGAAGAATTCAAACTTTGCTAGTCCCCGTGCTAGTCCAACCAGACAAAGAGCCACGGTTAGCGTCCGGCTTGTGTCCGTCCATGCAGAAAGAAAACAAGGATCAAGGTCTTAATAACAACAGCCATGGTGGCAAATATATTGGACTCAGCTTTCCACTTGGAGCATCATCTTCACATTGAGTTAACTTGACTGACAGTAAACTCACACACATCCCCACATGAAACAAGCTTTTGAACAACAAGAGATAAACACGATCAGATAATCCTGTTTGTGACATACACGACGCGTCGCCGTTTTTCTTTATAGTCTCATCTGTTGTTTCCTCATTCAATAAAAGGCTGTTGAGTCAAAGCAGGCAGCCGCAGAGATAAAGCTCCCAGATGTTGTGCCTCGCCGTGTTTATTTGCCTGTCGCGCACCCTTAATTGTTTCATCTGCCGCAAATAAACACATCTCCCGTCGCATCTTTGTTTACAGCGGGGCGCGGCGGTGACATGTTGTTTGTGGGGGACGCGCGCGGCGCGGCGCGGCGCAGACGAAAACAACGGCGGTTTCGGAGCGCGCGCCGCTGGGAGCTCAAGGCAGCGCGGAGGGAAGGGTTACAGGTGCGCACCTGCTGCATCTGCTGCCTTTTTATCCACAAGTTTCCGACTGGAAATTAGCGTCTGCTCTCTGAGGATTCGAGACGGGAAGTGCCAACTCTCTCGCTTGAGCTGTGTTTATAAATCAGTGTTGTCATCACCTGGTTTTTAAATAGGATGTAAACAAAAACAGGTTGGATGTTGTTATGATTTACTTTATGAAATCATTACATCTTAGTTCACCTGAAACATCTTTAGCAAGAAAAAAAGTAGTGGCTTAT